AGTTTTAGTCCCTTTTATTACCAAGCCAGATTCTGTTGCGCAAGATTCGGCGATGTTCGGCAATGTATGCCATGTATGATATTTGTCTCGTTTCCATATTTATAAGAAATTCACTTCAGTTACCTAATTTTATAAAATAATCACATCGATATTCACTTTCTATAACTCAAACAGGTCACTTTTACATTTTTTATAAGATTTTCCCAAGTTTTTTACAGTTTTTAAAAAGCATCACTTCGATTCTTAAACCTTTTGAAACGGTTACTTCGCACTTCGTTTTTTACCCATGTGGAGGCCCATGTATTGACCCAGAAGTAGCAAGGTCTATATTATGCTCTCTGTAGAAATATATATAGAATGCACTAACAGCATCATCATGTTAAACATTATACAGAGAAATAAATATATTGCTGCGCCTTTGAAAGTTATTTTTAAAAGTGTGTTAAAAGATGTGTGTTTACTGTCTTTGTCTAATAGTAAAAGAGATTTTATCTGCAGAAAAGAGAGTGATGAGTTCACAGTCTAAGAACATCAGAAGAAATTGTGATTATCCTCATTGTACTTGTGTGAGAAGCTGCATTGGAGTGTCATAATTATGTGTTCATGTGTTCATCTATTGTGTCTTTAGTGGTTTCAGGTGCCCCAAAGTCTGGGCCCCGGACACATTATGGTGTCTACGGTCAAAGAATGCTGTTTTTTGCATATTGTAGAACATAAAATCTCGTCATATCTTTCCTAACCAAAATATATTTTGAACAAACAATACATTTCTGCAACAAAAAATCAGGAAAAACGTGCAGTAATTATTGTTTCAGGTTGTGAGAGCTTCAATTCCCCGAGGCAGCTCACAATAAGCAGTTCTAAGTGTGGTCATTATCATAGGTTTTGATTAGCCTACTAATACAATGCCACAAAATGTTTACCAAATGTCAGGAATGTTAATGTTTATAGGAAAGGAACAAAATGTTAGTCTTGAAATGGGGTTGATTGTGTGATTAAATCATGACAGTATACCGCGGCAGTCCTTTTTTTCCAATGTGATCAATCAAGGCCATCTCATATGGATCGAGAATAATTAAGATTTTAAGTTTTTATCTATTATATGAACATAACATTCATCGTCTATAAATTATGTACACTAAGCTTCCTATGGGTGACCAAACATGACCATGTATTTGTATGGACCAAGACGCAACTCGGGGACGCAACGCCATACATTATTATTGCTCTTGCAAATAAATTCTGTATCGACCTGAATCTTGGATTATTTGTATCGACTGTCAAGGACATCTTTCTTTTCTACGCCTATCCTAAGCGTGACATGTTCCAAGTCCCAGATTTTATCTTGGCGCGTATTTTTCAAAAGCACATTTTGCCTCTGCGTCGGGGTGCGGGGGTGCACAATTCACAGAGACGGCACCAGGCGTTGTAAAACTTGTATTCGTGTTTGAATTGATCAAATTCATAACACTCAAAGGGGTAATGCGACATCCACCATTCACCAACTGGAAGCAGTATGTGACCATCTGAAATGACATGCACTGATAATTGAATTGAACTATTGGTTCGAAGAGACCTGCCTTGGAAATGATACCACAAGTGGCGATATCCAAGTATTACTTATTTTTATATATTATATAAGTATTGCCAGCAATTCATTAATCTAAAATCAATAGTCGTATATGAATTTCAACAAAATACAATTGAATATAAATATAACAATATTCATAGTATATTCAAACACATACATATGTCAGTGTTTATAGTAGTACATAAATTCTTGTGCTACACGATAGAAATAAACAGTCTTGGAGCATTCAAAACAATTAATGTACAAAAGAACGGTATATGGATTCAATGTTAAGACCAAGAAATTATATCAGGTGTTTGCAAAGCAGTGAGCATATCCTGCCATGTATGGAGCAGCATCGATCTGAGTAGTTGATTCATTCAGGGACCTTATACATATTAAAAAACGATGTTAAAACAATCAGAAGCCATCTTTCTAGATGGTTTATAATAATTTTGTCACCAGTTCATGATTGACGATGTTCAACGATTGAAAGTTGGAAAAAACTTACATTTTGAACTGTGTTACTTTCACAGAAATCACAATCCTTGTGCTGACAGAAATTCACTTCAGGTGAAATCTGGTTATTTCGTATTGTAAATTGGTGGACTGGTATTTGTCAGTTGTAAAATTTTGACAATGCATCTACACTTTATGAAAAATAATAGTATTGTCCAAGAATGCAAAAATTGGTCAAAGTGTAATTCGATTTGAGATTATTATTCTTCGTCACAGTTCATGTCATTAATAACAGGACTTTGATATATGTTTAGTACCCCAATTCAGAGTATCGGTCTGGCAGTCTACCTGTCTCATGTCATGTTTATAATAACAGCATTTCAATATTTTTGTTTTATTCCTATTATTATTTGAAAATGTTGACATACACTTTCAAATTCAGTTGTATTTGTAGTCATCAGGTTGAGTTATGATTCTCATGTCTTTCTGTCATTGTGTAATACTAAGACTTGTGTAAAAATAGATGACACTTCTATGTCGGAGGGTAATTTATTAAATGCAGCTTGAAATCTGACGTGTGACGAGGAATTCTGCAGTTCAGTATAAGCTCATGAGATTCCGAGCGACCTTTACTTTTATTGTACTGGTCTTGCATGCCCTGGTGAAGACTGGTGAAGACTGGTGCACGAATGCAGAACGACCTATTTAAACTGATTCAAAAACTTTCATCGCAGTAAATGTTATTTAAATATTTATTTCCTTAAGATATGTTTGTGATTTACTTTTTATCACCACTGGGATGTTATGATATGATGTGATTTATGATAGTCAGTTTTCTAATTTGTCTACAGTTTCATGGAACTTGTGTTGCTTTGTAAGGCATCGAATACTCTTGTTGTGACACTCCTATTTCAATATTATGCACTTATGCATCTCCAATAAAATTTTAAAAAGGTATATTCACCATTGAACAATAAAAATAATGAAATAAACAATCATTGTTAAAGCCATAGTCCCGTTAGTTGGCATTAGATATATAAATGACCTAATGTTTGTAGTTTAAACTTGATTGTTCATGGCTCTTTGGAACTGCATTTGTCCGATATGAGGTCTGATTTATGTGTGAAGTGTGAAGTGTGAACTTGGTTGGCCGTGGCTTTTCGAATATATGGATCAGGAACTGCATTCCTTGACAAAAATGACCAGCAGTCGACCATTTTGAACAGGGAATAAACACAATTTGTTTTGGTTGGGTTTCAGATGTACCCGACCAAACTCGGTATTGGTCCTTTTACTGTGATTTCTAAACTTGCATACAGTCTCTAGTTTGTTTTTGGTGTTTGTTTTTTTCAGTAAAATAGAATATTATATGAGTGTATAAATGACGAAATCCGGGTTACCTCAAAACAACAAGAGACTTTTGTTTCTTGTAGACGCCTTTTTGCGACACCGTTGATGGTTGTCATCAGTCCGGGCTTCAGTGCATGATACAATAATTGACAGGCTCATTAATATTCAACCAATCAGCGTTAAAGCGC